AGTTCATGTTTATGTCGCTAATGTTAAACTCTCGAATCACAGCGTGTCTTCCGTCTCACTCCCCACCGCTACAGACCACCTCACTGTGAGGAGAGTGGGCAGCAGCTCCAGAGACAGAACCCCAGTCAGCAGCTGCTGCACCTCGAATCCAACCAGTGCAAACCCCAGCTTTGGGGGCCGGACAGCCCAGACCATCTGCCAGATCAGCAAACTTTCTGTTGCTGCCGTTACACTACTTAGACCCAGCACTGCTCCTGGCCACCAGTCTGATGTGACCCCCAGTGCTAAGGGGGGTTTGCACTGGCCACATTTAAGCCTGCTCTCCTCCCGGGGAGGTGGTTTATAGCAGCGGATAGCGAGGCAGGGGGATGGGGTGGCTAGCCAACTAATACGCTGCTGGTTGCCCAGACGTCACCCATCGTGGCAGTGTGATACACAGACAGGCGGCGTCAGCTCATAATGCAGCCGGATGGCCAGAAGATACATCGCTGGATGGCGTCAGGTTGAAACACTGCTGGTAACGACATAATAAGAGCAGCTATAAAGTCTCCATAGGGCTGGTGGGAAGGGTGGTGGATGGGTTCAACAAACCCCGGACTTTCACCCAGGAGCCCGGTGTTTGCTTCCCGTATGAATGTAGAATCAAACCATGATGTTTTCTTCTAAATCTAATCACATGCTTTTGTTGCCTAAAGACAACCATGTGCTTTTGTTGACATCCTGGCATCAGTAGCAGCATCCAGGAACATCAACAGCAGATGCAGGAGGATAGCCTGTAATATGAAGATGTGAAATGCTACTGACAAAGCGGCGATAAGTAACAACTTAGGATGAGAACTTGTTGGGTCATCTGGTGGGAGGGGCTCAGGACAGAGAGGGGGCAGCTGCAAGAGGAGGTTTTCAAAATCTGCCTTTTTTTTGCCTTTCCCAGATTTCTGCCTACCCAAGCTTTATATAACTCATATTGTTGTAGGATGTTTTTCATCATTATTGTCTTATATTTATTTCTTAGGAGCTGAGAGAGCCAGGGCAGATGCATTTCATTGCATCTGAATGTAAAAAACTGTACTTTTTAATGTAATTAAAAAACTTCAGTTTCTGCTTTTGAGGTGGTGGATGGCAAAGTCTTTCACCTTTTGGACAGAACAAAGGGAGAGAGGAGAGTACTCGTGGTCAAGCAACTGTGGGAATGTGGATTAACCAACCTGCTAAATGCCCTCTGGGTAATTTCCCAACATTGTTGACCACCTTCTCTCCGCCCGACCATCCCCCCCTCTTTCTCTAATTCCCTGCATTCTTTCATTCTTTACAGCAGCTCACAGCAGTGTGAGAGTCTTTCTCACCACTCTGCCACTTCTCTGTCAGACCTGCACCTGCTTGCAGACGGAAAACTTCTGAAGGCAGATTCTTCTGACCATCCCAACTGTCAGCTTAAGTCAGGGGCTGGAGTAAGAAGGCGGAGGAGACTGACCTGGGTGATCAGTGCAGATTATTTCATGTGTGAGCAGGCCAGAACTGGAAACTTTGTGTCCTCCTGACATCCTCAGACCAGCCAAAGCCTGTCTAGTTTTTTGGAAGCGCACGTGATTTTGTCATCTGGTCAGGATGTTAAGCACTTTAAGACTTTTCAGCGTCTCATTTTAACAACGTCTGATTTGCATGTAGATTTTCCACTTCTTACGTTTATTGAAGAATGCTGTTTTTCTCATTGCAAAACTCGTATGAAAATGATAATAATAGACTGTCCAGATCATATCAGATGACTGCGAGGTAAAAATTTTGTCTGTGCTGCTAATGCAATGCAAAATCGAACTTAAAGAATAAAGAATAGAATTGTAACGGCCTGGATCAATGGGAAGACATTTTAAAGAGGCAGCACATGATCTCTGATTTGAGATTTGATTTTTTTTCGTGCACTGCATTTGCTTGAAACCAGAAAGGAAACCTAGTTGACTTTTCTAACTTTTCTGAGACATCCTCCAACTGTTCATCTCCATAAAGTTTATGTTTCAGCTGTAATGCACATTCTCACAGCAGCAAAACCTTTCCCAGGTCCCACTGGAGGGAAATATGGAGGTTAAAGGGGGGGGCTGGGGTCCTGTCGCTGCAACACAAGTTAGTGTCTCTCCTCTTTTATCACCACCCTGATCATTGTGTTTAATCATCTACATCCTTCTGCTCTACTCCTCCTTGCTCTGTCTCCCTTGGATTGCACGTTTGAAATGGTGGGGAGGAAAAACAATCCTCTGTTCTGCTCAGGCCTGAAGCTCCAGCGAGGAGCTACAGGGAGGAACATTGTGTCCCCGCACAAAAAGTGGAGCTTCACAGCCAGATGCTGCCGGTGTTATCTGTTTCTGCTTGATAGTTTCCCCAGTACTTTACATCAGTCTGCCCATGATGTATAAAGACAAGCTGTGGACAGCAGGAAAGTGGAGAAATCTGGCTGCTTTACGGGTAGAGATGGTGTATCATGAAACCGCAGAGTCCTTGGCTTGAGTCCAGCTGGAGACCCTCATCTCACGTCATCCCACTCTCACTATTTCCCCGAGCTTCTGCACAGTCATATAAAGGCAAAAATGTCTCTTTCAGCAGTAACGATCTTGACTTACTTCGTCAAATGTAACTGGATTTGCTTTACTCCTTTACAACTTTCACGCCATAGTTGTCCTGATTGTCATAATACAGTCACTTAGTGCTCTGTAACACACTGTAAAATGCTACAATGTGGATTTAAGGTTTTAGTGAGAGCTGCATTACAATCTGGCATTTATTGGGTGGTTTGGCTTACATATTGGGCAGTATTGATAATGACATAAAGAAACAAAGAGGCACAGAGCTGCGTGAGCTGTGTGGAGTAAAATGTGTCCTTTTCTTAACTGATTTAGCCACAAAAAGCAATTAAAGATTTTATTGTGAGAAAAAAAATCCTCACTCGAACAATACTTAAGATGTTTTAAGTATTTCAACTGTTTCACATTTGCTACTCCTCATCTTCATGACTGCCACAGGAACAAATTGGCACCACACACTGCGGCATCACATATGGAACTGTCTACCAGCTGAGTTAAAAATGCAAAACAGTTTTAATGTTGTTAATAGAGTAATAAATCATGGCTTAAAGAGAAACAACATTGTCCTTATACTGAATACCACAGCAGACATGCAAGTATTTTGTATTTTGTGTGGATATGTGGATGTATTTTCTTTTCTTTGTCTCCTTTGGACAGGTGTTGCAAATAATAATTTCACTACAAACACTAAACAAAGTGCACCTGGTTATTGTGCATACATGTACAATACTGTAATATCCAAAGCTTAACAATTCAGTAGTTCTTATTTTCATCATTTAATAGCTTCTTGGACGACCCTCCTACTGCACACACAATAATCTCAATGTGCTAAATACACTCATATGTGTTCACTAATAATCTTACTGGACTTAAAGCCCAGTGCATTATGAACTCTTATAAACATGGTTTATGATAGTTGGTCCACAGAAGTGGAAAGACTACGCGCTGAGCTGTGGCTGCTGAAATAAAATTAATTGCCTGAATAAAAGAGTCCAGTGTTAGAAGGTGGTGACCAAGACCTTATGTGTGTTTATGAGACCTTATTCTGTGTTCACAATGGCGTAGCTTTCGTGTCAGCATCGGAGCGGGGACACGTATGAATTTTTTTTTTTTTTTTTTCAATTTTTGCCGTTTCTGTTGTGTAATTTTGTCAAAATGAAAGTCCTCTGCTACATTAACGTTTTTACTGGGGAGGGGACAGACGCACATGTCTTAAATTTTGATGGGAACGTGTCCCCTGCATCCTTTGTTCTCTCATGATGAATTTCTCTGTTAGTGACACTTTGTTGTCACAACAAACACACTTGGACTGATCTGCTTTAGTTATACATTGTGTTTGTTCATAGCTGCACTGACCTCAGGGTGGAGAGATGCCACTCATAACTGCTGGGGCCCTTGTTCTGTTAGTTAAACCACTCACAAAGCCATGTTAGTTCAGCCACTTTGCGTCTGACAGAGAAGGGCCCCACTCTCTGTATTGAGTTTCTCCAGTGTGCATGTGTGTGTGTTTTGGTGAGGGTCTCTGAATTAGTAACAGACAGTCGCTCTGCAAACAAAAGCAAGACATTCAGCAAGGGAAGGGTGGGAAACAAAGCACAAGAATGCCAGCCAGGGTGCAACAGGGTCTCTAGGAGACAGACTAAGGGGGAGAGAGCATTGCAAACATTCACCAGCAGAGCTGCATGTGACTGTTATGTCTTCCATCTCACATTCTTTACATCTACACTTTGATAGTAAACCTGCCTCTTGTCAGAAATCTCTCACATTCTGGTTGATTCTCTATCTCTATCAGGCTGCCTCATGCAGACCGTACAAAGGCACACACACACATTTTACGCATGACTTCCCAGAACTCACGCACCTCCCCAACCCTGCTGTCAGATCTACTCAATGTCTCCTTTCATCCCTTCACCTGCAGGGTCCCTCTTTGATAACTTTATATTATCTCGGTCTGCTTAAAGACCCTACCTGGGGTGAGGCCCCTCTTTCATACCTGCTGTTTTAAAGCCACCGTTTCCGCAGGTTTGTGCTGTATCAGACGAAGGGAACAGTGATTAGGGGTTAAGCCTAACCCAACATGCACAGCAGCTCTTTCATCTTCTGCCACAGTGTGCAATTTGGATGCCGGCAGACACACGAGGTAAGTACATCGTAAAACGCAGCAACAGGTCTGCATGGCGATACTGACAATGTGTTATTATAATTAACGCGGACACACGCTGCTTTCCATTAGAGCACACTCCGCTGCAGATCATCATATGCGCTCTGAGAGCCTGTCCTGAAATGCACAAAGTTTGGGAAACATGGCTATATCTCTATAAACCGGCCGGTAAACAACCATTAAACTTATCGTAACAGTCATGCCAACCACAAAAGTAAACTCCATCCCACAAATTGCATCTACTGCATCCCTGTTTGTGCGTCTCTCACCAAATCGCGATGCGCTCCTTCGGGTACTCCAGCCTCTCGATGCAGCCCAGGTAATGTGGCAGGCTGTGCGCTGCGTTGCGAGCCACGATGGCGATCATAACCTTTGGCTTCAGCAGGGCAGACTCGGGCTTCATCTTCTCCTGCACCAGCGTCACCAGCTCCGACACGCCGCCGGGCACCACAGCGGCCAGTAGCGCCAAAAGCACACCGACTCCCACGGCCCCGACCGCCCGCATCTTCGCTTCCAGATTCCGCCGTGAACCGTCCGACCTTGGACCCGGAGTCCAGAGACTGAGCGAGAGAGTAGTGTTGGTGAGTGAGCATGGGAAGGAGTGAGCCACGGTGGGAGGGGGAGAGAGGAAGGAAGGTAAAGGAGGGGGATAGGCTGGGTGGAGGGCTTCCTACCCCTTTTACCCCTCCTACACCCCTGCTGATGGCTGCTGCTGCTGTTAGAGTGGAGCTTCCTCCCCACTAATAATAAACTATGTAAACATAATAAAATCAAAAATGGCTCATAACACATTAACCACTATTTAAATTTATACTGGCTGGTACATGGGTGTTTCTGTTTGTACTTTAATTCAAAATGTGTCAACAAGATGTGGTAGAAGGACACCATGTTCCAAATCATTACCCATGATGCCTGTCTGCAACCTGTTGGTCCATGTCTGTTCCTCCTCCTCAGTTCTACCACTTCCTGCATGCTTCTTTCCTTTTCCAATGCCTTCGCCCGTGACAGACTCTTGGATGCTGCAGAGCACCATGAAGTCATCATCTCTGACATCAACATTCAGCCAGACTGCTGCACCTATTAATGTGTTTTTAATAGAGGCTTATGTGCCCTACAAAACTGTACAGTAGCAAAAGTTTTTATGAATTTCATTAAGGGGTAAATTTTTTAATTTAACCTTAAGAATGTAAGGTACATTATAGTGTAGTATATTCTTATTAATACTAGCTAGGGGATGGGTTACATTAAAGCAGCGATGCTCAGCTTACAGCCCACGAGCCAAGTCTGGCCTGCAGTAGGGTGCCAGATGGCCCCCCTACCACTTCCTAATTCACAATGAAAATAAACTGATTCACACTGGGAATTGTTTTTTGTACTTTAAATGTAGATAAAGTGCCAGAGTGCTTTAAAAAAAAAAAAAAAAAAACATTAACATAGAGCTTGTTTATTAAAAAAAAAATAGTATAGGGAGGATGCCCTGGACCCCTTCAGAGGTCTGCCCCAGGCCCTATATGTTCTCAGATCCTAGAAGTGCTCCTGCGTACACCTAACCTGTGCAGAGCTGCTGCAATTGGCCCCTTGCTTCCTGTCATTTTGCAAAAGCAGCGCCTCCAACATCCGGAGGGAGCTCAGAACAGAGCCGCTGCTCCTTCATGTCAAAGGGGTCAGTTGAGGTAGTTCGGGCATCTGATCAGGATGCCTCCTGGGCGCATCCCGCTGGAGGTGTTTCCGGCATGTCCCACTGGTAGACAGGGCAGACCCAAGACATGCTGGAGGGATTACATATCTCATCTGGCCTTGGAATGCCTTGGGGTCCCTCAGGAGGAGCTGGAAAGTGTTGCTGGCGAGAGGGATATTTTGGGGTGTGACCCGGCTTCGGATAAGTGGATGAAAATGGATGGATGGATAGATGGGTGGATGGCGCCTCGGCAAAGCAAGTTGAGAATCCCTCCAATAAGGTGTGACCCAAAAAGGAATGAATAGTGCAGGCTACACAAAAGAGGGAGTTGCATTATATGAAATTGTACAAAAACAAAATACACAAAGACAACATTCATTACTGTCAACAGAAAACCTCCAGATTTGGTGATTTTGCATTTTGCCTTCCTCTAAATAAACCATTTAGAACCTTAAAACAACAACAAAAACATTGTCACAAAGCTCAAAACCGAGCCTGTGAAAAGTTGTGGAGATGCATTGTTTTCACAGGACAGTGACAACATGATTTTCCTTAATTAAAGGGATGTTTTTGGTATCTTTTACTCAACTGAGAAAAATTAACTTTGTTTTTTGGGTTGACAGCAAAATCTAAAATATGGAGAAATACTGGAAATTGTAACAAACCAAGACAAGTGAGACAATTAAAAAGAAAGATATAAAAGAAAGGTAAAAGGTAAAAAAAACAACAACAAAAAAACATGCAGACAGAAAACATAAGGTACATTTCACGTCTTCAAGTATGCATGAATTCACATGAACACACTATCTGCGAAAGAAGCTTTCCAAGGACAATGTTTAACTCTCAGCGGCATTAAACACTAAACACTCACAGTACCTAAACACGTCATCTTACTAGAGTATGACAGAAGAAAATGTGCCAAACCAATATGACACAAACATTTAACTAAAGTTGTGCCAAAACACTTCAGAGGCTTTCCAAACTTTCCACAGCATCAGACATTTGCTGTAAATAAGCTGTACTGCTAGAGTCCATAGGAAACTGTCAGACAAATATATACCTCCAGCTCCAAAAGTTGGCATCCATTATCTTATAATATCATACTACATGTTCTTATATGATTACAGTAACCCTTAGGTAACCTTTTTTGATTATAGTGCAGTCACAACACAGACAGATGGGCAAAGCCGGCTTACTTCTGTCCCTGTCTCGACTCAATGTGTTTATTTAAGCTAGGATCTCTGCCACTTGGTAATGTTTTCCCTCCCAGTTGAGGTAATGAGAGTACTCTGCCATGTTCTTCGTTGTTGGATGCTCTTAGTCACTGCAGAGGAGAGATGGACAGAGAGAAGGAGAGTGGTGATTTCCATCTGTGCGGGTAATCCATGAGCTCCCTCTAGTGCTTTCCCAGATACAGTTAGGATGTTTAAAAAAATAAAATCTTCCCACACACACACTTGCCCAAACCTGAACCCCCAGACACTGAAAATGCACAAAAAACTTTGCCCAGGGAACATTTTCTGACCCTTTAAACATGCAGTCAAGCTTTTATTCCTGCACACAGCTGTTTGAAACAAAGGTCATAGATCAGGATCATCAGCAGTCTAGCTGACCGGGGGGCTCTGCCCGTGTTGAGATCTGCTCAGACGCACATAAACAGAAACTTCTGGGGTCAAACTCTGGTCCAACTGGACTGTAAATGTTTAGCCTTCAAGCTGAAATAAAAGGAAAACAACCAAACTTAAACTTTACCTCTTGTGTTAGTCACTCTGCACATCTCTAAAAAACAGCCTCACCCCGTTGGCCCAGTGTCAGGCTTCAACACCAGGGCAGTCCACGATACATTTTCATTATTCAGATGGCTTGTGCACTCCCTCTTCTGTCATAGAAAAACATCTAGTTTGTAATTTTGGTTGCCTACTTGACATGCAGCCATTTGTCCCTGTGTAACTGAAGTATGGATGACAGATTGACCAGAACTGTATCATTTTTTTAAAGTTATGTTTGGGATAAATTAAAGACTGCCAAGCTTTTGGGTTTGTTAAGCTGTGGTTGCAGGGAAAGCGTAGCTATACACTTTAAATAGCAGGGTAAATCCTTTATAACTAGGTTCAATAAATAGAAAACTATGTCACACAGAAAACTCCAGGATAAATATGTACCATATGCTGTAATTTTTTTGTAAAAGTAGGCATGAAAAAATGTAGACAGCTAAAAGGACTGTGGCACTTCTTCATGAGGTTAATTTAAAAGAGACAGATGGTGAGCTCACGCTGTTTTCTGCTGTAACATTATGGAAAGTTAATAAACATAAACACACAGCTATGAGCCTCAAACATGAGATATTATAGGCACAGCACATAAAATTGTAGTTTTACACAGCAGTCTGCTGAGGCTCAGTGGAAACAAGTGATTTGAGGAGAGGAAAAGCCTGCACTCTTGTTGTAATTCCATTGAGCTGATTTATGTGTGAGTGTGTCTAAGTGTGTGTGTGTGTGTGTGTGTGTCTGGGTGGGTGATTTTGGACTTCATGCCTCCTTCAGGGCTGTCAGGGTGATGTACTGCTCTAATAGATAGTGCTTGATCATGCAGAGAGCTCTCTGAAGGAGCCCCCGTGCATGCGCATAATATGTGCCAGCATCAAGGAGACGCTGGAACCAGCAGATGGTGCTCTTGTTTTATTCTTGGAGAGTCCTCCTCTCTATTTCTCACACTCACACATTCAGTCAAGCATACACACTCTCTTGTCTTTTGGGAACTTGGGTCCAGACAGTGTGAGAGAAAGACACTCATCCTGGTCAGATGATTGAAATGACTGTGTCACTAAATAACTCCTGACACTGCTGCACAGCCACAGTCTCCTCAGCACCACTGGGCTCAAGTCACCAGGCTTGCTCCGGGCGCTGACTGCTGCTTGCTCAGCTAATGTGAATTTGGCAGACTGCAGTAAAACACAATACAAGTGCAGAACCATAAAGCATTCAGGCTCTCTCGTGATCCATTTCAATACTCTGCTGGTCACTTCAGGGATGCAGGGAATTCACAAACAATCTCCAATATTGTCACATTGTGCTCTCCACATTGATTAGATGCATCCAGACAGTTGCATAATTGTTCATAGATAAAATATGGTGTGTGTACACTGTTCAATTAGCTTCCTGGGATTTAAGTAGGTCATTTCTTGTGGATGTGTGGCATGAATGCAAATGCATTCAATTCTACCTTCCTAAAGCCTTGGCCTCCCCCTCATGTGATTCGCTTCTTTGCCAAGGTAATCCAGAGTATGGATCTGCATGGAGAGGCTTTACATACAAATGGATGGGGAGCAGAGAAAGAGCAGCAGCTGGGCCGACTTTAGAGACACAAGAATATACTGTAGTTCTTGTGCTAACAGATGAATGAAAAATCTATACTTCTCCACACTGAGAGAGAGTAAGATGGTTACATGGCCTGGCTGCCACATTTCTAAATGAATGTGTGCAGAGCTACAAGAGGTAGATTACTCAAAAGTGGGTATTAGGCAGCGAGGAACTGCTGGAGAGAGTTAACACACCAAGCAAAGGCCTGCTGGGCATCCAGGCAGGGATCCATCCCTTTGCCTCTCAGAGTTGACTCACACTCTCTACGTGGGCAACGTTTACATGTAAACACACACACACACACACACACACACACACACACACAGTCGTTTAAAACTGCTGTAAAATAGAAACCATTTTTTCCCATCGTTATATAAACCTGCCAGTATAAAAGAAGTAACACAAGCCTTTTTGATTCATGAAATTGAAATCTCACCAAAACTTTGAGTGTGTTAGATATTAGATTGC